GGGTCAGGAGGGACCAGCATCCAGGGAAGCAACAGTTTCCCCAGGCAGTTTCTCACCCCTTACAGCAGGGAGGGAGCATCTCTGACCTCCCCTCCCAGCCCAGCTGAACCTCCCATGGGACCCAGGGAGAGGGGGGGGGTGCTTCCAGGCAGCCCCCACTTCCAACCCCAGCTTTCAGAAGCAGGCTGACAGCAGCTAAGGTCTGCCTGCATGAAGGTGAGCACACAGGCTTTGCGATACCCAGAGCCACCCTCCTCGGACAAGGCGAGGGTGTGATGGCAGCTGGCCTCTCCCACACCACCACTGCAGCCCCCCGTCCTCCCCAGCGGAGGCGTGCAGCCGCTCCGCAGCCTGCCCCGGTGCCTCCGCATTGCCCTTCCATCGCAGGCAGCTTGTGGTGTACCCGGCAAATCCAGCTGCACCTCCCCAGCGCCGGGAGCTGCGAGCAGCAGGTGAAGAGTCTCAAGCCAAGGGCCACGCTACCCAGCATGGATCTTTACCCCCCAGTCCCGAGAGCGGCAGCCATTGGGACAGCTCCCCCTTCCTACCCACCACCATCCTTCACACGTGGAAACCACCGCCCCGGGACTCTGCCAACCCCTGCAAGAGGCTCGAATGAACTCGGTGTCCCACTGCCCAAGAGCTCAATTATCCCGATCAATATTTGGTCACGGCTTTCACCATCTCAGTCAAGTGTAACTACATACTTAAGATCAAGTACCCCTAAAAGCTTATCCGTACCTCGCCTCCATTCCCTGCTCACCCAGCGCTCCACACTCTTAAGACTCTGAAGAGCCTGAAAAGCCGGTTTCATCTACAAATCTCGGTAAGCAAAAGACTGCCAAGGCAGCAAGAGCAGCTAGTTTGGAAACAGCCCTGATGAGGGCCGTGAACCCCGTGAGGTTACAGGCAACGTAACAGGAGCAGTGTCAGGGAAACCAGGCTGCGATTCACACGCTGCAGTGCGGGGAGCAGGGATCATGTCAGAAAATGAACACAGAAAGCCCCTGTAATGGCATTACGGCTTCGTCAAGCGAGGCTTGCAGCATAAGTAAAGAGCTGATACACTCGGAAAACAGTGCGACACTCCACTCGTGCCAGATCTGAACCATAAGCAGGTTTTTGTTGCGGTTACTACCTACCTCCTGGGCACTCGGCCTGCAATACACTCCAGAAGGAAGCTATGTAGGACACTCAGAACACGGATCTGTAATGGCATTACGGCTTCGTCAAGCGAGGCTTGCAGCATAAGTAAAGAGCTGATACACTCGGAAAACAGTGCGACACTCCACTCGTGCCAGATCTGAACCATAAGCAGGTTTTTGTTGCGGTTACTACCTACCTCCTGGGCACTCGGCCTGCAATACACTCCAGAAGGAAGCTATGTAGGACACTCAGAACACAGATCACAAACACATGCTAATTACACAGGCCAACAAAATGCAGGAGGATACCAGAGGTCTTGGATAAACAGGTATCGGAGATTTGGGGCAGTGTCACCTCATGTTTACCAACAGAACAGGTCAGTGATGCAGGGGACCCCAGGGGTGGGACTCTCACGGAGCAGCCGGCTCTCCCCACCTAGTGCCAGGCTAGAGCAGGAGGGATGGAGGAACCCCTTTACTGAAATGAAACCCCAAAAGTTTCCTGGGCGCTCTCTTTCACACAGGCCATGCCGTCACAAAACACAAGAGACCCTCAGTGGTGACACAGGGTTTATTATCCTGTCTGTACAGTCTGTGGTAGATGCAGTTTAGATGATTCCAATCTGGAAAGAAGCAAAGCATGTTAAAACAGATGTTACAGTGGCAGAAAGGCAGAGCCTCCATCACAGACACCACTGCCAGGGCTGCATCTCTCTGGGATTCTGAGGACAGGCTTCTTCCTCCCAGACCTGCCCAAGTGCCTTACACAAATGCTTTAAGCATGTCCTCCACGGTGACCCCTGTGCTAATCCACAGCCACATTCCCCTGCTCCAGTACATACCATCGCTGCCTCCCGACGAGGACTACACTGCCTGCTGCTTCCAGCCACCTGCACGGCAGAAACCTCTCCCTCACCCAGGCCAGCAGCAGTGCCCCTGGCGTAATTTCCCCCTGTTAAATGAGCTGCCAACAGCGCTGGCCAAGAACGCTGCTAGGACAAACGCTGCGTCAACCCAGAAGCTGCAGGGCAGTTTCTGCATCCTCCCCGCTAATACTCCGGAGTTCTTGTAGTCCTGCGGAGTGGTGCCCCTCCCTGGAGGAGTTGAAGAACAGCAGCAATTCTCTCTCAGTAACTTTTCCCACCTAACCTCACGATCTTCCAGGCAGAATTGCGTTTTGCTAGACCAATGTGGTCTTGCTTCTGAACACTCCTAACTACAAGGACACTCCACAGAAGCGCCGCCATGCTTGAAGCCCAAGTACCTCACCTGTACACCAGGAAGAACAACCAGGCACAGGAAATACAAGACAATGGGAGCTGCAAAATTTCAAAGATTTCTCACCTTGTTGGCTACATCCAGCGCATCGTAATCTGGAGCCAGTCGGACATAAGCCTTCTTCTCCCCATCAGGCCTAGAGAGGAACAGGAGGCATCAGTTCAGAGGCAGACAACTCCTCCCACCCGCTCCACGTTGCTGCTATAGCAGCGTGCATCAGTGGTTCCTTTGGAAACATCACTTTACTCAGTGGTAAAAAATGTTCACATCATTTGCACAAGACTCCATGGCTGTTATAAGAGCTCCCTGAGGAAGCCGACCCTCTGGTCTGCCAATATTTCCCACTTCTGTTAAGATGTGCTCAGTCGCAATTTGCATTTCTCAAAACTTTAACACTGAAAACACTACAGAGCTTAATCCCACACCTCCGGAGAGCACCCGTAACTGCTGGAACTCACATGGGTTCCCATTTACTGCTAAAAGCCACTCCGGGCTCTTGAAGCATCTCACACCCACCAGTGACCTATTCGCCCCCTCTTCTCACCTAATCAATGTGTTGACCTTGGCCACATCGATATCATACAGCTTCTTGACAGCCTGTTTGATCTGGTGCTTGTTTGCCTTGACATCGACGATGAAAACCAGAGTATTGTTATCCTCTATCTTCTTCATTGCCGACTCTGTGGTCAAAGGGAACTTGATAATAGCATAATGGTCCAGCCTGCAGGAGAGAGACCCTGTGGTTAACAGAAGGCTGGCAGGTGCCATCTTTGCATTTGAGGGGCTTTCAAATACCACAGGTATCATCTAAGAAAGTTTAGGGTGCATCAGTTGCCAAAAAAGTTCTAATCACAAACTCTCAGGCTTTGGTCGCTTGAAATCATCACCTGCCCCCCAATCCCCCCGCCAGTCGGGGTGGGCTCAGCTCCCAGGGCAGCACACTGGCAGAGCGTCACCCCGGGACCTGCAGCGGGGCGCAAATCCCCACACCAGCCCATGCATAGGGCTGCTCCCACCCCGCAAGCCCTGCAGCAGGGCAGAGCCCAACACCCCAGACGTACTTGTTTCTCCGTGGGGCGCTTTTCCGGG